ATGAAATGGACAAAATATATGACTCCACATAGAAGAATGGGAAAATTACATAAATGGACCATAAAATCTAAAATAATTATAAGTTCATACCCAAAGTAATTCCTGAAATACTCATTCTCTCATAAATAATTACAGTTCATACCCCCATTCATTAAGGCTGATAATTTTCGCTTAACTTATACTAATCAGTATCATATACTATATTAGTATCATTAAGGTTGATAATTTTGCTTAACTGATACTAAATTAGTATATATATATAATGTATTGGTATCATTAAGGTTTCTTATTCAGAAATTACTCATTAGTTAATGATATTATAATAGTATATGTATATTGTTGTGGTATCATTAAGGTTTTTTGTTCAAAAATTACTCATTAGTCAATGATAATGATACTATAAGAGTATAGAGTATATATATACTCCTATAGTATCATATTTCTGAAAAAGAAACTTTAATGATACCAATACAATATATTTACTGATACTAATTTAGTATCAGTTAAGCGAATTAGTTGGGGACATATAATGTAATTACTTAGTGGGGTATGAATGTAAAGAGGTATATATTTGTAATTATTTTACTTTTATAGGGTATTTGCTTAGTTTCCTAAAGAAGAATTCGAAGATGGACTATTTTTGGGTTTTGACCCATTTATGCTCTTATTGCTGTGTTTCGTGCCTTTTGACCTTATATTAGCTTTTCTTTCTCTCGATTAAAAAAAGTTGGGCTTTGGCCCAATACGAAATGCTTAGGAAGACTTGAGTCCAGTATAACCCATTTGCGACATTAGTTTAGGAAAAATTATCTAAATAAACATTTTATTTTATCATAATCTCTAAAATTCTCTACCATTTAAAAATTTCAAAAATTTCCTCTCGGATACCTCGCTCCCCTCTCGTTAATACATCCTATCCCCCTCTTTGATGCATCTCCTCCCCTTTCAGATGCATTTCTCTCCCATTTATCCTGATGTCATATCCACTCTTTGATACATCTCTATCCTCTCTCTAACACATCTCTTCCCTCTCGGATACATCCCTCCCCTGTGTTTTCAGATGTTTGCTGATGTTCAGAAGTCCAGTGATGTATCTGAAATCCTATGTATTTGGAAGTTCAGTAATGTATCCAAAATCTATAAAATTTAAGGGATTTTTATAATTTTAAAAAGTGTACGGAAATAATGTAATTATCTCTTAACACTATAAAATTTATGTAAATTGCTCAATAATTTATCGTCTCCAAATTGTTGCTTTGTGAATTGTGATACTCCACATCAATTTGAGGAGATGTTAGCCTATGATATTAGTAAAGGCCCATGTTTTAGTATTTGTATTGTAGGTTTAGATAATGGGAAAATTAAGCGAATAAACAAATATATTTTTTAATTAGCTAATATAGCTATAATTTAAATTAATTACTGCTCGCAACTTGATTTTAGTTGTAATTATGTGCGCCTCTCTCCTTTCTCCTCGCTTATACATATATGAAATACAAATTATACAAATACAAATTATATATATACACACACACAATTATATGACAGATATACAAATGCAATTGCCTATCTCCGCTCTCTGCCCTCTCGCCCGCCTATCTCCTCCCTCTCCCAATCTCGCTCGCCTCTCTCCTCCCCCTAACATGTAGCTACGAATCGTAATTAGCAAACTATAGCTATGGAGCCTAATTAAAATTATTTTAGTGGCTATTTGCGAAAATTTCCCTCAAATAATAGATATTACGTAGCATTGTAGGCATAATTAGCTGTGGTTGAGTAATTATAAGTTGCAGTATAAATGTTTTATCTTTTTATTATGCTTATCTTTTTACTTTTACCAACAAAACGTTCAAATTATAAATATGGAAAATAGGAAAAAACCTAAATTATAAACACGGTCCGTTATAAATATCATTGTACCTCTTAAACATTGACACACAGTTTAGTGTTAAAGACTACTTCAAAATTGGAATAGAAAAAAAACTAAATTATAAATATTCATATTTAAAACCTTGCCTTTTAAAGTTCACATTCTAATTAAAATAAAAATAGGAATAAACTTGAATTATAAACATTCATATTTAAGACTTTACCTCTTAAACATTCATATTCTAGTTCAAAATTGGAATAATAATAAATTTAAATGATAAACATTCATATTTAAGACCTTACCTCTTAAACATTCACATTCTAATTCAAAATTGAAATAGGAAAAACCTTAATTGTTTAGGATTTTGTTAGTATTAGCTTTGATTATTTAATTAGTTAATGTCTAAATAAGTTTTGTAGTCACATTCGTAGGTTTTCTCATTTCTATTCATATATTATGTATTTACCCAATTATAAATAGTACGTACTACTGGCTATTTTCTTATAAACTCGAAAAAGAAAAATACAAAATCAAGTAAAAATGCATCATCAGAAATTGCCTAATGATTTAGTTGTGGAGATCATCTCCCACTTGCCTTTGAAATTTGCAGTTCAATGTAAAGTTGTAAGCAAGAATCTCAACATTAGTATTTCCGATCCTAAATTTTGTAAAACTTTATCCCAAAATCAAAAGATCTCTACACTAATCAATTCGTCACAAAGCCGATTATCTGAAAATCTCCACAAAATCTCCATAAACAGTAGTAGTATAGCAGCCAGTCATTTCGAGACGACTTTACCTGTTAACCTTAATGTTTTAGCCATATCCAAGGGTTTAATTCTCCTCGACTTTTATGAACATATGAATTACTGTGTTTTCAATCCTATAACTGGAGCACACCAATTGATTCCATATCCTGATCCTGAACAATGTTATTGGGGAGCAATTGCTCCCGCTTTCGCTGTTGACTACCCTACTTCAGATCAATATATGTTGGTAATAATCAAGTTGATCGAAGAAGGTTATAGATTTAAAGTATTTTCATCAATTGAATGTGGTGTGTGGCGCGAATTCCAGTTGGGCGAAGAAAATCCATTTCTCTATGTGACGCAAGTTAATCCTGTTTACGTCTACGATTCAATCCATTGGCTCAGAGCTGATGATGGTGGTGGTATTCTTGCTTTTCAAACAAAAAATATAGAGGTTATATTTATTGACCTTCCTGAGATGAATATCGATTATAATGCATTCAAGTGCATAAAATGGTTAGGGGTGGTGCACGGTTTACTTACCCTTGTTTGCACCTTACAGAATTCCATAGTCATTTCTTCTTATGATTATACGAGCAATGACTGGAGTGTTTCCTATAATGTGACCGCCAACTTTATTAGCGGTCTAGACTACTATAGCTATTCATTTCCTGTATGGATTGACAGAGAACAGGTGTTTTTCCTAGCAGAATGTCCTCCGCGACATGATCATGATCATGATCATAATTCTGAGAGAAAGAGGTATCAAATAACTCCTGCTTTGGAGAATGATGATTGGTTTGGTTATTATCCATTAGAGTTCTATACCTTCGCACCAACTTTAGCGAGTGTTCATGCGATGCTCTCATGCTCTGTCTACGGGAAACATTTGTCATCTATCATTGCAACGTTAGATGAGCTCAAAAGATTTATCACAAACAACAGTTGGTATAGTTAGTTTCCTTCAATTCAATTTTGTATTTTGTCCTGAACTATACTGAGAATTACTGATTTTGGTTTAGCTGCAACCTGTCCTGTTTCTGTTTTGGTATGTTTCATTTTAAGAAAAGAGTAGACCAATTAATGTTTTCTTCTAATAAAACTCAACAAGTTGAAAAAGGATGAATACTGCATTAATACTATATGCTAAAGCAGCACATAAATTACCTTAATTGTAGCTGCTTTAAAGTTTTGAATAATGTTTAAGAAAAACTATAATAGGAGGAGTTAATATCTCAAAGGTCACTCATTTTTGGGAATTTATCTAGTGATATCATTAAACTTTATTTTGTATCAATAAAATCATTCAACTTAAACATTTGTATCAATAAAATCACTCAACTAAATTTATTATTAAAAAAAATTGATATGGCAAAATATATTACTATTATATTTATGTTATGTAAACATAAACCCATAAATAAATAAAATTCATTAAGAGATTTTTACGGAAAATACTTTTATGGAATTACTTTATATTCAAAAAAGTTTTCAAATTTCAGAAAATATTTTTCAACACAACTTTGATTTTTTTTTTCTTCAAGTTTCAACAAAATCTATGTAAACACTAGTTAATTATACGGTGGAGTTACAAAGGAAAAAATTGTGGAGTTATTATATTAATAAAATAAGCTTCAGTAATAATGGAACACTTTCTGTTGAGTGATTTTATTGATACAAATGGTAAGTTGAGTGATTTTACTGATATAAATGTCTAAGTTAAGTGATTTTATTGATACAAAATAAAGTTCAATGACTTTACTAATAGGAGAATTGATCAAATGAAAATCGATGTATCTATTCCTAAAACGGAAAATAGTCAAATATAACCCGATATTTTTAGGAATAGTTTAATTATACATGTCGTTATACTTTGGGTCCAAATATATCCTCATACTTCGACACAAATATACCCTTAATTTTAATGGAAAGACACATGTCAAGCTTAGAATTAAATAACGCATCCCCAATTTTAAATACCCAATTTGCTTAGAAGCTCAGCCATCTAACCACGGGATCCAATTGAGAGGGTATATTTGGATCCAAAGTTTAATGAAGGAAATAATAAACTATTTTTAATAATCCTCAGGTATAAATATTTGAGTATTTGACCATTTGCAGTATACAAAATAAGGAAGTATCAAGTATACTGGAAATCAAAGGGAAAACCTAACAGGACCAGATACTTTTTCAATATTCAAATTATAAATAAGGAAAATAAACACTTAATAGAAGGCAACTTGGCCTCTGACTTAGGTTAAATATTTGATGTCCATCTTTATGTTCATTCCTCAAAAATTCAAATTTTTTAATTCTATCTCTTTCCCTTTTTTGGCTTTTCCATTCAATAACATAAAAAATTCTGGGTTCGAGACTTGAATATGGAACTGAATGAAGATATTGTTGTGGATATCATCTCCCGCTTACCCGTGAAGCTAGCAGTTCAATGTAAAGTTCTAAGCAAAAGTTTCAACAATAAACTCTGTGAACCAAATATTTCACAAAGTTTTGCTTCACGATGGTTTCGTGATCAAAATATTACTAATCTACTCATCTGTTCGACACCATCACCCACACAATCATCATATGAAATATCAAACTATTCTCGTAAATTCTTTTGCAGCAACCCTAGGCTCCGACTTGGGTACGAAAGACGATCTTCATCACTTAACGTTTCACTTTTGACCTCTTGCAAGGGTCTCCTTCTCCTTGAATTTCATAAATTTAAAACTTTCTGTATTTTTAATCCTATAACGAAAGTGCACCAATTGATACCTTATCCTGAGCCTACAAATTATTTTTCTACTGTGGGCGGAGGCGCAGGATTAGCCATTGATCATCCAACTACAAATCACAATTATAAATTGGTGACTGTTGGGATGCTGAATAAATGCCGAGGATATAGATTTAGAGTATTTTCATCGGAAGAAGCTGGAGTTGTATGGCATGAATTCCAATTTTTGAAAGAGGTATATTATCGTACTTCCATAGTCGGTCCACAACCTGTTTACGTGCACGATTGCTTGCATTGGCTCACGAGTGACGGTAATGTTCTTGCTTTTGATACAAAGAGTAGTACCGGACAGGCTACAATTATTAACCTACCTCGCGAAGTCCTCCATGTTTATTTAAATGATCCTATGTACGGTGCTATTAATTTCATGTTCGATGCAGTTTTGGAGTTGGTACGTGGTGTACTTGCCCTCGTTTGTTCATTCAAGAAATTCATAGTCATTTTTGGTTATGATTATGTAAGCCGCAAATGGAAAGTTTCATACACATTGCCTAACTTCAAGCCGGATCTGGTGGGACGTGTTGGTGGTCCTGCTTCTCCAATATGTTTTGATGGGGAAAAGTTGTTTATCTTCGGAAGATATAGGGCTGCACTGCGGACTGGATATCTGTACGAGTATGTTATAGAGATGAAGACGTATAAAAAAGTAGGTGAAGTTTTTAATATGCTTAGTGCTATCTTCTTCTCGTGGGAACCAACATTAGCCCGTATCCCTAAGACAGAGCTTCCCCCTTACAAAGTCCACTCTAAACATTTCCCAGAGATTACTGCAACATTAGACGAGCTCCGATGTCTGATTGCTTGTAAACCTCGAGTTGATCGTGTCACGAAAACAGCCATAAATAATTATAGGTTGTTAGCTGTTATTGGTTCTCAATACTAATTTGTCATATATAAATAATTATATGTTCAGACTTATCATTTGTTGCAATTTTAATACATCAATTTATGCTTCGCATCAATAGTTTTTGGTTCAGATTAACCCGCCTTATCAACTGTACATCCACCCATGCTTTCAGCACCAGATATTTGAGGCGCTATAGTTTGTATTTGAAAATATTCACAAGTTGTTATGAAAACATTTTGACAAAATTTTCTGTTGATTGACACTGAACCTTGACCTCTGCTGTGAAAATTGCTCGTACTGGTCTGTGGTCCGACAGCTTACTCTCACCTCGACTATACTGCCTTTGTTTCAGTCCCTTCCCAAACCATATAATCCTATCACACCTGCATAATTAATACACTAGTTGCTATAATTCCTTCTACAAAAATATTAATTCGCTAGTACTTTTCCATTTGTGTTATGAGATCGATCACTTACCAAGCAGGGGTTCGATTCTTTTCCTTTTTCCCTTTCTGATTATTGCAGCCATAATAATCATCAGAATCTAGATTGTATTTATATGTCGGCGCAAACTCAATTTCCTCCTCATTCCAACCCTCAAAGGTGCAGCCTTCTCTTAACTCTGCCTTCAACTTCAATGTAAATTTAAGATAAGTAATTAATTAATGATTGAATTTAGCTGATGGATTTCAGTTCTAACATAGTCGATTTTTTAGATCATCGATTCAATTTAACTCGTTATAGCAGGTTATTTACTTCTGCTTACAGAACTTAAACTTTCAAACTTGGTTGAATTAATTTTTCTTTTGCTGATGATTAATTAGAATACCTGATCGTTTTGTAATAATGTGCTCCATTGCCTGTCATTGACTAAAGATCTAGTTGTGGGTTCTGGTAAGCAAATCCTGTAGTTCAAGTCGCCAAGCCAAATTACTCTGCTGCATGAGATTACGCAACTTGTGACAGTTAGAAAATACTTATAAATTAATCACTGCCTGCAAATTGTGGATATTAATTACTTATTACAAGATATTTCAAGATATGCACCACTTGATATATAAAACGAGTACAAAGCAATCAAATCTTCTCTGTTTTGTTCTAAATAAATGAAATTGTTGACTTCTTTGCTAAAATAAGTGAGATTTATACAAGGGGTTAGGTAAGAATTTTGACAATCTCCTAGTGTTTTCAAATAATTATAGGGAGTATCTGCCTGCTTGAGTAGTTTAGGCAACGACTCAAGCAGGCAATATTACCAGAAGAAGCAAAACCATATTCATAACATGGCGATATTATGGATAGGTCGAACACTTGAGCTAATATACACTATAAGGAAGACAGAGTGACAAGTGTTCGATTTGAAACCCTTTTGTCAGAAAATTATACTGTACAAATAAAGTAAAAAAAGAAACATTTAAGAGAGGTATACATACTCGTGTTGTAAAATCTTTCTGGGCAAAGATTGAAATGGATCAGAGGAAAATTGTGTGCGTGATAGTATTTGGGAGACATTTGCATTTCGCTCTTTCTTGTCACCTTCTTTTCCACCAGAAGCCAAATGACTACACACAAAGCAGAAACTTGTCTCGTGCAAGCAAAATCTAACCGAAACTGAACCCTGTATATGCATGTTCAATTCCTCATTATTAGTACTAGTAATTAACCAAATACGACTAGAAAAAGGGCGTTTGGACATAAAAAAAATGTGAAATTAGGATATTTGTTTTCGAGTTGAAATTAGGATGTGAATGATTTGTACCTTGTTGCCGAGGCAGCCGAAAATACCACAGCCTACAGAGGAGATACTGATATGCCTGATATAAGGAAGCAGGGGAGACCTTGCCCATATGGTGATAAAAACTCCTACCATTTGTTTGCTAATTATGCATTCAAAATGTGGTGAATTACTAGTTTTCGAAGTAGTAAAGGATCCCTCTCTCTTTAGTGGATAAACCTTTTGATGACTTTCTCCAAGCTCCGCCTTCTGATGAAGACTGATATCATCAGTCTTGTTAAGAGCTGCTCTAATAAGAGAATTCCATTGCATAGATATGCTTGTATTCTCTTGCACTAAGATGTTTCCGGCATTCAAAGGTACAATTTCTTGAAACCTGATATAAATTTGGGGTTATTTTAACACAACGTTATACACTGTAACGTTTTTGTCATATTGAAGTAACTGAACTTTACTTACTATAACAGTAAAGTCAATAAACATTACCCGAGAACGTAGATGTCAGCCAAATTGTTTTCAGTGTGGAGCAAGTCTTCCATGTTTAACTCGGAAGGTGGTGCAATGCCTCCAACATTCCATGAGCTAACAAATAATCTGTTTTTTTTTTTCAAAAAACGAACAGGAAAAATAAGATGAAACTAGGCATTGAAGAATTTTAAAAACGTAAAATTTATATACATAGTTAAATTAAGACTGAGAAATGTATATACGTCAAATTTTGAATTTGAGCAGACGTAGTTTGATAATCAACTTCATGATTCTGCCTGTCCTCTAGGATCTTGTTAGCTGCTAAAGCAAGCCACATGACCTCGGAGGAGACGAAACAAAATGCAAAACTTATATCATAATACTTGTGTGGGGGAGAGGCAGAGAGATGGTGGGCAATAAGTTAAAGTACAAGTTGGTGTATATATAAAGGGGGACAAAAAGAGCAAGTTGATTTCTGGGATATCAAGGTGGTCTATTCTGAAATGTTCAAAGGGTGAAACAACTTGGGACAGGAACGGAGCCACGATTTTGCGTTATTAGTTCAGTTGAATTCAGTAACTTTGACTTAATATGTGTAAACTAATAATCTATTCAAAGTCTGTAAACTAAAAGTTCTGACTTCGTCCTAAGTGAAAGTTAGGGCTACAAAATGCTAATGGTTGGTTTGGTCTATTATGGAATGCTTATAAAGGGAAAGAAGTTGTTAAACACAGCAGTAAAAGCAAAAATAATAATTAATGAATTGCTAACATATTCAATTGGAAGGACATGAACCATAAGGGGAATGTGATGTGAGCGATGATGCAAGTTGGATTAAATTTTAATAAACCGAAAGCGGAAGATGAGGTTAATATATACTTATGGTTAATGATGATTGGAAAGGTTGTCACTTTTCCCTAATAAATATATTGTTTTGGGACTAACTATACTTTTGTAAATAGATATAGAAAGAATTAAATAGTACTTGTGATATTTACATTTTCAACTCAAACTTTACCACGATTAATAATCAGGTGTCACGTGGAAACGAACAAAATGAAACTTGAAACGGTAAGGATCAACTAATCAGGTGTAATTTGAAAACGAACAAAGTGAAAATTGAACGATAAAATAAAGATATACCAAAAGAGACATACATTTAACATGGTTCGTGATCAATTAATCTATATCCACAAGTAAAAATGAGCAATCTATGGTATAAAAATTACTACAAAATATCGAGAAATTTTGGACCACTATGATAAAATATGTTATTTTGGACCACTTCCAAGAGTGATCAATTTGGAGAAGTGCAAACAAATTCTTTTACGTTAAATATGTTTAGGTGCCTGCCGTCATTAAGACTCTTGTCTTTTCTCCTATTTGTGTGGGTAGGTCAGACGTATATAATAATCAAGATACGATAATTGTTTACTACTCCTACTTAATTAGCTCCTTCCTTGATTGGGTTATTTGTGTTGATGACAGCCATCACACATCAGATCGGGGACGAGAACCCTAGGCTCGACTTGGGTCTTGGCAGTCCTTACTTTGAGCTAGTTTTTGGGTATGAGTTAGCCCCAAGATTTTATTCGACGGTCGGTTGTGGGGCTCCCAAACCATACGAGGGTTGGAATATACTTTCAATCCTTGAGAATCATGCTATGAACCGGACAATGGATAGAACCTGGAATAAAGAATGTCTGAATTCAGGTGTGTGAGTGTTGATGAGAATCATTGCATATTGCCTATTGGACCAGGACGTGTCCCCTGAATTTCTTATAAGGCGTAATCAATACTCTTCCTTTTAAGCTAACTGTTAAGATATAAATTAGTCTCAAAACCTAATTGAATAATTTGTGTATAGTGCAATAATTGATATAAACCAATTCACCCTGGATTCCATTCCACCCTTTCCAAAAAGAGAAGTGGAAATATATGTACATATTTTTAGTTACATTAAATTATTTAATCATAATAAGTTGAATTAATTTGGCGTAAATACCCGAGGGGTGAGGCCGGGTACGTATTACCGAAAAAAGCACAATATGCAAGTCGATCGATGTCAAGAGTAAAATCTACATAAGTAAATTAGGAAAATTCGTACAATATTATATAGAATTCCAGTGTTTGTACTTCAACTTGAATCATAGTGATAATTAATAGCCAATATGCAGTATCAACCACTAATATTCATGCTGTTTTATAATTGGATGGACGGAGAAAAAAAAAATGAATGCCAACAGCCAAATCCAAAAAGTATATTCTACTACAGTCAACTAATTGGCTCTTTAATTATTTATTTACGTGGGGTTAGGCTTTGGAGGACCAATCAACTTCTCCAAATGATCAACCACAGTGCAGTGACATATCACAATAAAATAAAATAAAAGTATTTTTATCAGCCAAAAAAATAAAATGTTCTATGCCTATTTGCCAAAAAAATGGTTGTAAATTGGCCTCATTACTAGCTAATGATGAATGATGATTAGGAACTACCTTTTTCGGAGGATAAAATTATTAAGTTCATCCTTTTTATATATTATTTTCTTTTTTTTTGTTTGGTCAAACACATCTGAATTCAACTAATTCAAATTTATATTATGTAAAACTTATTAAGATAAAAAATGCATATGAAAAATATGTTATGTGTTTATTAATCGAAAAAAAGGTCTAACAATTCTTAACGAGAGACGCTAGCATATATATATACTAGATGGGGGAGGCCCGTGGCATGCACGGGCCCAATAGTCAAAATATTATGCTTCTAAAAATATTAATACTAATGAATCAAGGGTGATACCTTTTGCAGAAGATGGATAATATCATATATTATATACTATTATAAATATTTAGAATATGTACAACAGACATCAGTATGATGCCAACTTGAACGATCTGCAAATACTAACTAATGTAATACAACCAAAATAATTACCCTTACTTAGAAGAGTGATATAGCAGATGTTTCAGTTTTGATATATAAGATTAGCATGTCATTGTTTATCATATGTAGAGGATACAAATTGTGCAACAAGCTAAGAAATGTCTACTTTATAGTTTATACTTGGATCCATATGTGACTATTTAACACGTGTTTGCTCTTTAGTTCCTTATTTCTCTTCATCTTCTTTCGGGTAGCCCCATTTTGTATTCAAAAAATTTTCTGGTGCTTCTCTCTCTTCTTCACTCTTTGCATGTATCATCTCTCTTCTTGTGTGCTTGAAGATTTTGGGGCGTGACACTTTCAAATGAAGTTGAGACGGTCCGCAACCCTATTGTCATTTCCTCTTAAACTATATA